ATATATATATATATATATATATATATATATATATATATATATATATATATATATATTTAACTATAAGCTCTTGTGGTTGTTGCTTGGTGCCGAATGTTGGGGAGGGACTCAGCACTGCCTGAATACTGCAGTACTTGTTCTTTCCACTTCGATTTCCATCCATATTAGTATCCAAATGAGGAAAGGAGCTGATTGGGTTGAACATGGCTCTGACCTTGGGGACTGGAGGTGAGTGAACGGTTTGACCACAATTAACTGTATTGTTGAGGAAGTGACAGATGTTCTTTCCCGGAAAGATTTCTCCATCCTCTGAGATGCCATCTGCCTTTACCCATCAGCAGGCTGTTCGTTCTCTTGGATAGTTGGAACACAATATAAAGACTTCACAACAAAAACATTTCATCCTTTTCAATTCTGTTTAAAGACACACAGCATTCTCTAAAATGCTTTAGGTTGTGGATTCAGATTTCTGATATAATTAACAGAAGAGGAGTTTGTGTACTTTCCTCCTTTGAATAGTTTTGAAAGGAAAGATCCTAGCAACATATTAAACAATCCTCATGCTTATCCTTCGCTAGTCAGAAGTGGGTGAAGACTGAAGTCAGTCTGTTTTGACAGCCAGCCTGCTCCTAGATCCTAGAGGCTGACTCAGCTGCTGAATCCCAGATTTCTCATACAACTTTGTGCTAGGATTTAATAACAGAGGAAGGAAGGAGCCAAGATGTTTGCAGGATGGCAGTCGTGTTGACAGTGCTTCCATACCCAAATATTGGCTAAGCCATAATCACAGTGGTTGGGGAATCTGGTTAAAAGAAACCCTGTTTCATTGATCTGCACCACAGAGATTTCTACTGCCTTACTCTTTAAAAACTTTAGGTGCTGAGTAGGAGCCTTTTTATGCAGTAGCGAGAGAAGGGGATACAGTGGAATAGGCTGGGTTGATGGTCTCTGGGTGTTGGACAAGAGGAGACCTATGTGCTGTAGAGTATACTGAGCCCATGCCTAGGAGCTTAGTGTGCAGTGTGGCCAGCAGCCTGGCTCTTGTGGGGCCTTGGAAGGCTGCTGTCTTGTAGCCCTGAGAAACAATGGGAAATGAAGGCTGCTCATAGGTTTTGCTCTTGTTCTCTTAAGTGAAACCAGAACTTTAAAAATGATCCAAAGATGGCTTAGCACTTAGGAGCATTTTCGGCTTTTGCAGAGGACCCAGGTGGGTAACAACTATCTGTGACTCCAGTTCTGGGGCTTCTGACACCCTTTTCTATCCTGTGTGCTCACGTTATGCACTAGGAGTACATATGTGCATACATGCAGGCAAAACGCCCATACACATAACATAAAAGTAAATAAATAGATAGAGGAACCAACTGACCCTGTTGCTTTTCTTTATGCTCTTTGGAAAGCTGATGTTTAGATGCTTCTGGTGGATGCTGTCACTTTGCTTCTTTGTCCCTCCTTGCCAGCCTCTGAGTCATGCACCCACTTCCAGTCAGTTAGAAGCCAGCTGAGAGGGCCTCACCATCCAACACATTCATTTAGTAAATGAGGAAAACCAAGGCCCAGAATGAAGAAGGCATGACTTGTCCAAGGCAATTGGTAATTCTTGCCATTCTCTTGACAAAGGCAGGAACTGAACCTAGTTCTTCTGTTTCCTAGTCTCAGGACGCCTAACAGGCCTGCAGCTGGTTGTTATTTCAGAGTGCCTTGAACCTGAAGAGCTGGTCTGCCCTATTGGCTCCATTTGTTGGCCAGAGGATACTGGTGGGTATATGCTGCCTCCCAGCCACACTATCTGTAGTTGGAGAGGCAGCTTCTAAACTAGCGTTTCCATACGTTTTGGATTTATAACAAGCCCTTCTACGCCCATTAGAGAGTTTGTGGTAGAAATCCTATTTATTACTTTTTGGGCATTCTGCTATTTCTTTGGTAGGGACGCTTAGCCTCAATCCATTTGTGTATGAATTGACTATTTTTCTCCATGGGTTACATAGCTGCATTCTGCTTCAGTGTGTGATGGCGACACTTAGGTACTTATTAGCTGAACAAATTTAATTAAAGCTTGTGGTATTGTCCCATCTGCTGTTTGGTGATGATCATGTTATTGCTGTACAGAATACGGAATGTTGTCATAACTTATCTCTGTTTATCTTTCCATTGCGTAGACTGGAGGAAGCAAGGTCCTGCAGTTTCTTCCCTTTATCCAGTATGCCTCCTTCACTAGGTCATTTAAGTGCCGCAGTCACGTAGCTGCTTTTGGTAACATGATGGAGAGATTAGAGCCTCTCACAGTTGGCCTGGGCATTGTTGAAGGGCACCACCACCACTCTCACCTCCCCCGATACCCAGTACAGGCAGTGTCCTTTTTCTGTGTCCTCACTGGAGAGATGACCTGATAGTGTGGCTGGCAGGGGCCAGTGTCTAAGTTTGACGTTTGCTGGATGATGTGAGGAAAGTCTCATGATCATGTCAAGATCAGTAAAAGTTATCTAGGGCAGTGTTGTCAAATATGGTAGTCACTCTTTGTATATAGCTGTTAAAAGCTGTTTAAAAGTAGCCAACATGAAAGCATAAAATCAAATGAAAAATGAAGTTGCCAGCCACAATTTGAGTTCTAAGAAGATTTCTCATCCTCACAGGAAAGTCTACTGGACTTTGCTAGCCTGGGAGCTAAATTATGTGAGCAGGAATAGAGGGATTCTGAAGGAGGGACACCTGTGAGAATTGATGATGCCAAGGGAAGCTTTGGCTGGTGACAGTGGGAACTTGCTGGGCTTCTGAGGAATGAGTGGGTCTTCCAGAAGTCGGGAAACTGGTTGTGGCTAGAGCTGAGGGGAAGAGTAGGAGACCAAGTAGGTCAGGAGCAGTGGGTCCGGAAGCTAGGCATTCATTGAAGTTGGGGTTTGTGGACTTTTGGATGAAGGGTCAAATTTTTGCCTTCTGTGAATATTTCCCTCTTTTGGAAGAAGACTCCAGGCATGCCATCCAGGTGCAGTCAGGGCTCTGGCCACCCTTTGATGCAAGATTAGAAGTGGGTTAGTCCATGGTCCTTTATTTGTGAACTCTGGACTTTCACAGAATCACAGTTATGGTTGGTTGGTGGCTGAAAGGAGGGAAGAGAAAAACCATCATAGGGCCCCAGGGCCACATGTTAGTGGCGGTCTGGGAAACAGCATTCTTTTGGGGGGGGGGATGAAGGCATGGGTAACCTTGATTGGAATGACAAGGAGTTGGGGGTGTTGTCAGTGGAGCAGGTGTGAGAATGGGGGCTGGAGGTAGAGTCAAGCTCCTGTTACCTTCAGGAATCAGGATATTAGGGGTCTGCGCCAGAGGGCATCCATGTGAGGTGGGCACCTGGGTGTGAGTAGTTTTGAGGCTCCAGAGTAGACCTGCTTTGCTTGGAACCATTGCTCTCCCTGGTTGTTTTTGTGGTACAGCAGTCCATACTGACCTGCCTTCTCTCTGCTTCACACCCTCCTGAGGGTCATGTTGAGGTCTCCTTACCCCTGTGCACCTTTTGTGTGGTTCTGTGCCTTGGATCGAGATTAAGTGGGCAGGGCAGAGTTATCTGTAGGGACTGCAACACCTCTTGGTAGTTGAGTAATAATGGACACTCCTTGGTCATCTTTGTCACCTCTTCTATCCCATTGAGGAAGAGGCTGGGCTCCTGCAGAAAAGGCACATGATATGTCCCAACGTCTTGCTTGAGTGTAGGCAATGGAGCCATATGCTGTGGAACCTGCTTTTGGTGTGAGTTCCATAGGCTGTTTGGTTACCAGCAGGAAGTGGGGCTGGTAACTGACAACTGTCAGCCTCATACTCAGCTCCCTGGTCCTCTCACAAGGAGCTTTCACATAGCTGTTCTCGTAAATGAGGGCATCAGTGAGAAAAAAGGGCCATGTCAGAACAGCTAGATAATATGTATACCAGTAAGACTGAAGTGTCTT